TCCTTTTATTTTTATTTTTTTTTTTTGTGAGTTTTCAACTGCCAACAAACACCCAGAAGCATTGTTGAAGCACTGTGACGCTTCAAGTGTTATGTGCATTTTTAGTTGCTGTCGTAACTTTAGCGAAGGCTTTTCGAATTCTATTAAATGATGATTTTACAGTTCTTCCATGATTTGCAATTGTCAGAAATCTAACTTAAAGCATATTAACTTTCAAACAAAATTTTTTTGGGACTCAATAGATCAGGAGGGATCTGTATAGGCGTCTAGGTCGTAAATCAGCACGAGTAATGGCTATTTTATGGATTCTTTTAAATAATTTTAATCTCAACGTTTTTTGTTAATTACCTACCTACACCATAATACAGCGAAGCACATTTGAAAAGTGAGGTTAGGGGCAAAAAAAGATTATAAATGATTCTCCAAAGCCGCATAACATAAAAATTGTAACCTTCTGTGTTCGAAACCTTATATAAAAATTAATTTACTAAGTAATACAAAAAAAAAATACTTTATTAATTTCTTTCTATTTTTTAAAAACGTACTGACTCAGCACACCAAAATATTCAGCTTATGCATTAAAAATCCTGTATAAGAATTTGATTCCAAAATAATAAAAAAAAATATTGTAATAATGAAAATTTTAATTTAAAAATAAAAGTTTATTTTTTTAATAATTCTTTAGCACTTTTAAAATCTTGTATTTTCATCAATTTTTTATATAAAAATAGTTACACCTATCTGTGATGCATTTAAAGAAATACTTCTCTTTTATTTATTTATCATTTTATTTGAATTCAAAGCGTTGCAATAGAATGTATGGCGAATGCTCAAAGTAATTTTTAGAAAAGAAAAGTAAAGCAATAACAATAATAAACGACTATTGCAGAATGAAATGCAAGTAACAGCAGATAAAGTGTTACAGTTTTATTTTAAATTCAGAGAATTGCTGACAAAGTAACGAGAAAGTGTCTTTAGTACATATGAATTGTAGGTATGTATGTTTGTATATACGTTTCTATATATGTATGTATGATTAGGGTGTATAATAAATGTTTCACCATCC